AGTTTCACTTTTTTAAATGAAGTTGCTGCAATGTATTTTGTCCTTGTTCTTTCTTTTGATTACTGATGCTTGGAAAATACTGTAACTTCCTTCTTTCCCACCTTTTTTGTGGCATCCTGATCTTCTTCCAGCTGCTGGCTGGTGGGTGCTCTGCTTTGATCCCCCAGCCCTGGGAGCTGAAGACCACTGTGGCACTCAGATCTTCTGACAGCAGCGCCTCCTGTTCCTACTGCACCTCTGGCACTTCATGCGTGAAACTGTTAACGAACAGATTTTAATATGATATACAGAAATCGTTTTTTTGTTTCTGTGTTTTTTTTTTTTTTTCCAAGAAATAATCTTTTTATGTGAATGCTGTTTTTTTTTAATAGATGATTTCATCTGTGAAAACTCTTGGGTTGTGCATTATGGTTCATCTCTTTGTTTTGTTTGTGAATCACTGTTGTAGTAATAAAATACTATATTGATACAAAAGCATCATTATAATTACTGTTGCGGGTTTCTGTCAAATGTTTTAAGTATGTAGCAGATTTTTGGCTTTGAACAATAGCAGTATTATCAACTTGGTTTAGAGAACTAATTTTGTATTGCTGAAAACGACTTATTCTAAGAAAATCGATTCTGCTTATTGTTAAATGTGTGTTTATAAAGCTGTTTCCTGAGATAATGATATATCGTTTCAGCTTTATTAATTGCATTATCGTGTTCACGTAAGAAAAACAAATTTGGAACTTTTTTTTCCCAGACAGGAAAGAACAACTGTCTGCAATAAGCGTTGCTTTCCTGCCTTCCTTTTCCTCACTGTATTTCTTCCCCACCCCCATAACTCCTGGCCCAAGTCTCTTCTTTCCCCTCTGCACTGACAGCTTTTTTCCAATGAATATCTTTACAGCATCAGAGAAAACACAGCTGGAGGGATACTGAGCAGTCATCTAGTCCAGTCCTCTGTCCCAGGACATGACCAACTCTGCTTGGCATTATGTGTGCACTTAACAATTTCCTTTTAACTACTGTATTTACTTAGAATTGGTGCAAAGTGTTTGTCCCAAGAAGTCTATTAGCAAAAGAAAATGAGGAGAAACTCAGTAGTTCCTCAGCCAACTGTAGCAACAGCTATTTCTGAGTGATCCTTATCCTCTCACCCATAAAATCAGCATAAAATTGACCTAACATTGCCAGATCAGATGGGGTATCTGGAAAGTAATCCTCAGGGAGAAGAAAATTCAGTCTGTGTAAATCTGAAGATAAAGTGCATAAAGTTGCAGAATTGGATTATACTTTCTCTTTTTATTTCTAAGTGAGTACCCTTTTGTTTCTTCCTTTGCAGCACTTGTGAGAAGGTGCCACAAAGATATGTCAGATGCTGCCTGAGTCCAGCTCCAAAAGCAGAAACAAGTGTAATCTTTTGGAAAAAAAAAAAAAAAAAAAAGCAAAACCACAACCCAATCCCTGACTTGGATAATTATCATAAAATCCCAAGGCTTTTTATAGGTGTTAGAGTTTGGTTTCAGAGAGTGAAGGCATAAAAAGAGCATAGTAACCTTTCTTTTTGAAGCACAAGTCACATCAAATTTTCTTACTTAATAAATGTATGCCAAGTACCTACTAAAATAACCAGTTAAAAGCCAGTGATAACAACTGCAAAACCCAGCTCAAAGCAGTTGGACAAGTCTTGGAGGCATGTAATTTTTGCTGAATGTAGCACTGAATGTTTTTCTTGAATTGAGTTAGGAATATTTTTTTTAAATGTTGGCTCTTTTTTTGTTTTCTTGAGGGAGTATTAAGAGCATTATTCTGCCTGTTTAGATCACAGGAATCTAATTATCTTCTCATGATATATATATATATATATCCTTTCATGATATGAAAACAACTGTTGTTATACCTGTATTTGAGTGAACTGAGATGTACTTTAGAGTTGTTTTGATCATGTCAAGCGAGACCAGAGTAGTACGAGAGAAGTGAAGATAGCAAGCTGAGCAGGACACTAAATTATAGTTGCAGGTTTTGTAGCTGTTTGCGTATCAGGACACCAAAAGAAGTTATTGGAGCCATTGATCTTGTTGCCAGTCGGTATAGGTGCTCCTGTGAAATGCTGTGCAGCTCTGTTGGCACCTCACTGAGGTGTGAATTTTACCCATTTTTTGACCCCAAACCCCAAGTTACCTAGAGCCAAGTTTTGCTTAATTCTGAGATTGTACTTTGATCCTGATTTGCAACCTTTTACAATTGCTGCTGGAGGTTTTGCTATTACGATCTGCTTCCTTTTTTGAAGCTTGGCAGTTACACTTCCACTAAGAACAGTGAAAGACAGACATTACCTTTCTTTCCGATTTAGAAGTTTGTACAGTAAACAATTTACAAAGTATCAGAAACCCCCATGATTTTATTACTGTGTTGCTAAAGGATTCAGTATACTGACTGTTTCTCATGTAACTGTACTTCACATCTGCCAAAATAATCTGCCCGGTTTCATTGCTCGGAAGAGGTGAACTTGCCAAGCCCGCTCCTCCCTGGCGATGCTCGGTCAGCCTGCCTTACTGCAGAACAGTCCCCACACCTAGTTGCAGGCAACACCCCTCAGGTTTTGCAATAGAAGCAACTATAAATGGTACAGCAAGGCTTGGGAAGTTCTGAACAAGAAATGGGTGATAAAAAACGGAACTAGAGGCAACTAGTAACCAGCTTGTATTTCCTGAGGTCTAGCAAATGCTTAAGGCTGGATTGCTGCTGGGTGCAGCAGTCCCACTTTCTTCTCACCAAAACTCCTTGTTCCCTGTTTTTTCTTCCTTTTTTTTCTGATGCAAACCTAATGGTTTTGGGGAACTGATCTAGTTGACGCTGACCTGAAAAATTCCAGATAGTTGGTTTGATCTTGGTCAGTTCCCCCATCTGATTCGGTATGTAGCTGTGGAAGAGTCTGCACCAGCAGGAGAGAGATGATGGTGCAGGATCATGAAGTAGCTGGTTGTGGGAGTGCAGTGGGATTGCTCGTTTGCAGAGAGGTTTATACTTGAAATGTTTGTGGACGTATGGCCTTAGATTTGCAAGCTCTTTTAAGGTATTTTTGTGATTCTACACAATTTCCAGTGGTTTTAGCAAGTAATTTATGAATTACTTAACTTTGAGTATTTGATATTTGTTACCATGCTTGCTGCTCCTTGAATTTATCAGAGATCACTGTTGATAGATAACTATGTTCTTTTTCATGATACTAAATTTGCATAAAAATAAGAGATCCCTTACAGTATAGGCACTGAGATACTCAAACTCCTCTTGTATCTGGTCTCGTTTCATGTCTGCCTCCAAAAGTTCTTGCTCCCCATAGTAGATGTAGGAAGATTCCTCATGGGAAATACATACATTTTCATAAATAACAGGTGCAGAATGCTCCCAGGGTGTTCTTAGGAGCAAAAACATGCTTGTCAATAAGAGTCAAATGGCCACATTTTTATCTAAAATCTCAATTAGATTTGAATTAGATGAAAATTGGGTCTCAGTTAGGTTGAGCTGATTGACAAGTGGACTTTTGCAACACGTTTGAAATGTGTGTTCCACTGTTGCTTTAACATCTGGCCCGGGGTGAATGAGGAATGCTGGCTTCTGTCTCCAGCTCCTTGTGAGTGGGCCAGCAGCAAACGCGGGTGCAGCAGCTGCGTGTTGAGTAGTAGGATTCAAAATCAGCAGCTGGGAATGAAAATGCCATCAATGGCGTTTCCCTTCCATTAAAGCTTCAATTTGCAGCAGCAAACATATGTGGGAGGATGAAGAAGAGTAGAAACCTCTGTGCTTTGCCAAAAGTGGAGAACCCTCTGGTTCTGATGTAAAACGTAGCATTAAGAAGGAAGTTTCTGATTTATTAGACAGTGCTAGCATTGGAGACTGAAGTGGAAATCTGAATACGTTTCCCAGATCTTGGCTCCTCAGAAGACAGGAATCCTAGCAGCTCCTGAGGCAGCCAAGAGGTTGCAATTCTCATCAAGCAGCGTTCCCCGGCGCTGACCAGCGGGTTTCTCTGTTCGTTTTGCTGACCTGTGGCACTCAGAGCTGTCAGCGGTGGGAGGGTCTGCGGGACGTTGGCTAGGACACGAGCAGAAACTGGGGAGCTCTCCCTCTGGACCAGGCTGTGGCACCGACCTGGGTCTCCCTTACAGGAAGATGGGCAATTTCACTTTTAGCACACGGATGAATGCTGCTGCTCATCTGTTGTGCGGAAGCGCTGTCAAGCTTTGTGGGTGTTTGTCTTACAATTTAACTGCAGCACCTCGGGAAGGTTTTCTATCACAGGAGATGAAAAGCTTTGGAAGGATGAAGAGCATAATTTGTTTTTTGTTGAGAGGTTATGGTTCAGGTTGTTGTGTTAGATGCCTTCAAAATAATGTTAATTGTAGAGTAATATATAGCCTAGATAACACTGATTATTTTGATAATTAACAGTTTATAATAGGTTAATGAAAACTTTAAGATATTACTGAAATGCTGATTTTTAAATGGCTCTGAACAGAAAATATGCAAACATGCTGGCTCTTCTAAACTCCTCCTTGAGAGTGCTGGTTACATTGGTACTATCTTTAAAATCACAAATGACACTTTTTTATACCTCATAGAGATCTTTGTTTTCTTCTTCTTATCATTTTAGATCTTTTTTTTCCTTGGATAGAAGGAGGTTTTATATCACTTTATTTCTTGATTAATTAAAATGTGAAAATTGAACGCGTGCTTAAAAAATGAATACTGAAAGGTCAAAAATAAAGACTTGAATATGAAAATAGTTCAGTACATCGTAACTGCTGCCCTGTGTAAAACAATAAACATATGGTTTCATAAATATGAAATAAGTCTTTTTAATAATCCAGTGTCTTCCTTAGTTTTTTAGATACATTTTTGCACTTGCCTCAAAGCTTGACGCCAAGCTCACCCTCTCTTTAATATTAATGTACTTGGACTGTAATACTCTGTTCCTTTGCCTCTGATTAATGCTGTCTGTCAATTATTTACAGATCCAGTGGTACTGTGGAAGTTCCCGGAGGACTTTGGAGACCAGGTTGGAAACATGAGATTGAACTTTTTTTAATGTTAGAATGATAATAAAAAAGCTCTCCTATTCAGCTGTGGAGAGGCAGATGCTAATGATAGCGGGGAGGAAGTCTTCACCTAACTGGTGGCTTGGTGATTAGAATGCCTTTGTGACAAGAATATGCAATAGCAGTTGTAGGGCACTGTATATCATACTAATTCTCTGTATCACCTTATTTTTGATATGGAGTATGTTATAAGCTGTTTCTGTTGGAAGTTTTTTGGGTTTTTATCTGTTGTAGGATTGAAAATGTGGAAAACTTAACAAAACTTTGCCAAACATTGATGTTTTAAATTGTGTTAACAAAACCCACCAGAACACAAAGTTGAGCTGCACGTGTATGGCCTTCTAATGTCAGAACCTGTGTCTCCTGTTCCTTTAATCCTTTACAGTGCAAAAATTTAAGTGTGTATTTAATAATATTTTAGAGATCCTAGTTATTTGCTTGGAAAAAAAATAAAATCCTCAGACCCTTGTAAGGGACAATGATCTTGACTTACTCATTTCGAAAGCATGAAAATCTGAGTTTCTATCTATAATTAATCCTCAAAGGAAAGTTTATCCATACAAGACTGATGGATTATTTCACTGTTTTTAGTGATAGTGAAGCTATTAATTAGTGTGTTGTGTCTTGTTTTTTTGTTTTTCCCCTGGACTATTTTATGAAAGTTATTAATATTAACATTTAATTAAAAACTATTAAATTTTATTATTTCAGCAACATTTAGATGAGTTTCTTCCATGGAAATATTTTTATTTTCATAAACAAAAATGTGTACAAACACTAAATAGAATAAATATCTCTGACTTAATATCTCTCTTTGCTCTTCTTTTTAGACTGATACTGAGTCAAACATTCTTCTTTGCTAATATCACCAGAATGGATGATGTTGAAATATTTTTTTACAGTAGATGTTGATAAATTGTTGATTTTTTTTTTTTTTTTTTTAAATCAGTAATAAAAGATTCTATAAAGACAGCTATAAGGTGATTCATGATGAAAGGAATAAATATACAAACATAGAAGGCAAGATCTCTGGTTAGGGAATAGCATCAGTCAGAAACATGTGCAGCTTGTAAGATAGTGATAAATGGTACATGAGCACAGTGTGCTATTATATGTTCTTAGCTAGACATTCAGCAAGTTTTGATAATTTTCCTGGCTGTAGAATGATCATCTTCATTGTCATTTAAATTCTTTTTTTCTAGTTTGTTTTGTTCTTTTTCTTTTCCTTAAGACTTGATCTTAAAAAAGAAAGAGAAAAAAAAAAAGAAATTATGTACGAAGAAAAATGGGAGCTTATTCAGTAAGTCGAAGGTTATTCAAAGAACAGCTGGTGTAGAAAAATGATTAGAAGATGAAGCCCGCTAAAGACTGGAGGGGAATCATACAAAGATGCAATAGACATACCTAATCTATAAAACCCAGAGTCCTCAGACACCTCTCTGCCTTTGGGCTCCAAAAAACCTACGCCTGCACGTTGTGTCTCAGCAGTGTAGGTTTTCAGGTAAATTGCTTGCATTCCTGGAAAACAGCATGTTTTAACCCTCAGCCTTGCAAGGGAGACTTTCCTATTGGAACCACTGGATTTGAACAGAATATATAGAGGCTTCTATAGCAAACCCCTGAGCCAAGTAGTCAAGTGAAATCAGCAGAAGCCTTCTGTGCGCATGTCTGTGTGTGTGTTGAACTCAGTAGGTTTGGATTGGAGACCTGAATATCTCCCAGTTTTAATTTTTTTTAAAAAATGAGATCTCTTTAAAACTATCAAGGCTAATTTTGATGCAAGTTTGTGAGGGGAATATTAAAAAACAAACAAACAAAAATAAGAAAGAAAAGGAAAAAAAGATTGTTCTCCATCCTATTTTCCAGTCATTACTATTTTAGATGTAAAATGTGTGAGTTGGTTTTTGGCTGTATCCCAAAGAATCATCTTTCCTAAAATCTAAGGGCTGTCTGTTTGCATAGTGATGTGATAACAGCGGGCAAAATATTTTCCTTTCTTCGTGAATTTTTTCTACAGTTTATCATGTCACCTTTTTGTTGCTTTCATAATGCAAAGAAAACTTGTCTAAGCCATTTTGATATATTCCTCCTCTTTCTCACATTCGTCCTCTTAGTATGCCTGAACTTTCCTATGCTTACTCATCCCTAATACTCTCTCTCATTCTTGTGGCCTGCCATTTTCTTTTATGCTGGGCAGTATTCTTCTGTTGGTCTCTTTTCTTCTTAAATGTTCTTAAATGTCCAAAATCTTGTTTTGCAAAACATCCCATCTGTTTTGGGTGGGATGTAGAAACTGCAGATCATCAGGAAAAAGAAAAGATTAGTGATTTGTCATAATCAGTTACTCATATGCAGTCCATTAAGTAAAGGAAATACTCAGGCACAGTTTTGGTACCACGAAAGAATTTGCACGATGCATTGTTGAATCCCTTATCTGCCAAGACTGCAGGGAAACCACTTATTTTCTGTCTGGGAATTCTTCAGATGCCAGAGTAAGACGGAAAAGGGAAAAACACAGAATGGGCAAAGGAAAAAAAGTAATGCTTCAAGGCAGGAAATGAAAAATACTTTTCTTTGCCAGGAGTATTTCAGAAAGTTGTTTTTGTGGTTTAGGTGTTGGTTTTTTTTTTTGATGGTGGGAGTAATTAACTTTTTAGTGACTCTCAAAACTATCAATTAAACAATGAACTCGTGCCGGGTAGAATTCTAAGTACAAAGAACCACACTACTATTTCAAAGAAAATATTTACTAAAAAGTACCTCAAAAGAACTAATCCGTTTGAGACTTCATAGAGTTACAATTTACTGTTGTACTGGCATTAATGCTATAAACATGAGTTTGACAATATTGAAAAAGTTCTGAATAATCTCAGCACTGTAGAAAAAATGTGGAGATTCCTGATTTGAGCAAATATATCTAGAATGTATTTTGAATGTATATGCCTACAGGCTCTCTCTTGTAGCATGTTCAAAACTCCCCTTGTGCTCAATGAAATTTTTATGATAAAAGATGTGGATGTTTTTAATCTTGAAATTCCAATTTTGTTTATTCAAATTGGTTAGACTAGAGTTTAATTTCAGCCTTACAAACTCGTTTTCAAACGGAAGTCTATACAGAGAAAATAATAATGCTTTGATATCTGGAAAAAAAATCCAGTAGGTTTTAAAAGTAAAGTATTTTTTAAGTTCTTTAGAGATGCAACCCAAATAAAAGCAACACCTTTGCTTCCAAAATGAAATACTTCCTAACTGTTGAAAATGTGTGTCTCTGCAGAAAGTTATGTCACCCAGCAGAACGGAGATCTGCTGATGCTGACTGTTCCCTCATGGCAGTGGAGTCAGTGGCAAAGCCATGTTGATGTTAGATGTGTCCAGATGCCTCCAGTAACCCTCTGTTTGTAGCTGTTCTGGAAATAAAAGTGCTCAAGCTCCCAGTAATTTCGTTGGGTTGAAGCATTCCTGAGAAGAGGAGTAGTGTTGGCAGAAGGAAGGCAGAGAGTGCAGTACCGATAGCGCTGGCAGGGGTTAGTGGCTCGGCCAGGGACAGTGCTGTTTTCTGTGTTGTCTTAACTTTTGAAGCTTGTGAAGTCTAACGTATCTTACAAAGTTAGTGATTACAACTATTTTAGCTATTATTTTTAGCTGTGTAAGAATTCAGTTTCTTTTTAATGTGACTGCTTATTGGCCCAAAGTGATTTCCATCTGCAATAGGTCCCAGAGTATATGGTGTATAGAAATACTGATCCATTGGGTAATTCTTAACTCTTCTCCCTTCTGATCACATAGTAATTTCTTTAGTCTGCCACTTCTCTACTGGTGAAAAATGTCTCATCAGAAGGATGATACAAATAGCTAATATGGCAGGCAACGGTCTTACCAGAAGCCACTTCAGTACTATGAAACATGACAGGGGATTGTTGGCTGAAGATGTGGGCTAAGAAAGAATTGAGACACTGCGTTCAGATTGTTCGTTGTGTTGCAGATTTCATCCTATTTTTTCTTGCTCTCTGCTTTCTAAGGCAAGCAGACTAAATCTGCTTTTTCACGTCAGGCTTTTCCCAAACCCTGCAGGCGAGTAATGAGTAAGGGATATGGCATCCCATGTGGGGAATGTCTACTGTTTTCCATCAAGTTACTGTAACACCCTTTGTATTATTATCTCATATTTTATATCATAACATCTAGTTTTTATTTTTAATGTATCACATTATGTGAAAGTCACCACTAAACTGTGAGCAATAAAGCTTACTCCTTATCCTGTAGTGACCAACTACTAAACCCTGATATTATACGTGTTAAGTCTATGAGATTAATCTGAAAATACTCGTATATATAAAAGTACACAGATACAAATACATGTGTGTAAACATCAGTTGTTTAAGGGATAAATCCTGTGAAGTACTAATACGTTAGCCTTCCTTCAGCAAAGCACTTATCGTGTGCTTTACTTTCAATGTATGTATGAGCTATTGGAAGGTTAAGCCTGGCTTAAATGCATATCTGATTGGAGTCAAAGTGCTCAATTTCTTGCAGGATGGAATATTTAATTGCATGGATCGTGGCAGCAATTATATAAATGAGGTCAATATGAAAGAGATTATATTCTTTTTTTAAAGATTTAAATATTAGCACAAGTTTAATTAAAAAAAAAAAATCTCAAGAAGCAAGCTGAAGTCTGTTGCCTGGGTCAAAATAATGCGTGGAAGCCAGTTGTGATGATTTTGTGTTCCTCTGTGCTCTCCTAAGAGAGCAGCAGGAGCCCAGGAGGTACGAGACTGTTTACACTCTTTTCAAGGCTGCAGGCATGCTGTTAGGGGATGCTTTCTGCATTTGATGGCTTTGTTCTTTTATTCTGATGAGGCATTACATACATGTTTCAAATGTTTATGCTAACTAGATAGGTGCTTGCTTTGGTGTTTTTGGTTTTATCAGTAAATCTTAAAAAGAGTTTGCGGATTTT